CTGGGCTGTCTTTCTAATGTTAACTGATACTTAACAGGAGCCAAGAGGCAGCAAAACACAGTCTGCTTCTCAGTTCAGTTATCTGGCTGTTGTAAGGGACTGTTGGGTAGCACAGAGGTGCCCTGAGATGTAATGCAGACATATCCCTTCCCTCTGATATGCTGGTGGAAGGAAAGTGAGTACATCTAAGTACCTTTATGCTCGTTACTAGGTTGAGTTTTAGTTAAAACTGGGATTCAGCTGGGGTACAGCAGCAGTGAAGCTATAGCACTCATCAGTTACTTACTTGTACAGATGCTCTGACCACAGATTTCTTCATGATCATGAATTTTACTTTCAAAAGCAAATAGGGATGTACAGGGAGCTTAATTATCCTTATTCTTACTTTACCTTCATCCCAAATAAAATTGTTCAAATTAATTTAAAGATGATCTTGGAAACTGCTTGAACTTCCATAAAGAAAACAATGTAGCATTTGCCTCAGGTGAAGAACAGTTGTAGACTTAAGTTCTGGTCAGTACTAAAAGAAGATAAAAATCCATGCAATTAACATGCTAGCTTAACTCCCTACTTCCCTATCACTTCCCTTGGCATTACCCCATGGAAATTAATACCAATAGGAAAGTCTCTGTGGGCCATCATTAATTTTCTAGCAGCAAGCCTGAAGTCTCCAACAGCTCTATTTCATCCTGTTTATCTAACTGAAGCACCTAAATTTTGGCTAGATAGAAAATATAATGTTATAAGAAGCAGAAGACTGCATTACCCCACTGAGAAACTGTTATGTCTCCATGGTTTTTATGGGATAGAACAGCTCCAACCCCAGCTCAAACAGCATGTGCAGTTGAGTATGCTCTGCATTGTCTGATTTTAACAGAGGATCAAAAACCTCTTCCCTGCATTCATTATATTGATGCCTCAGGGTGTCTACAGCAATTGAGTTCCTAACTCCAGTGTAATATTAAGGAGGAAAAACATCCAAGCCAAATTTATAAGTAAAGATGTCATCAACACATCGTCGTAGAAACCTTTCTGGACATGTCCTTGTAGAGGTCTAGTTTATTTGACATGGACTTCAAGGTAGATTCAGACACATGGAAATACTGAGAGCAGGTGACACCAGAAGCTTTTTCCTTCTTTTGTAGCACAATTCCCCCCTGCCGTGCAAGGAGCCAGGCTAATTACACTTCCATGGGAAAGCATCTGTGTATCTAGCAGATCCAGTGGGTAAAATTCAGCCTGATGCAATTAAAGATGCTTGGAAACTTTACATTCCTGGTAAAATAGAATCACAAAAAAGCTGCAGGCAGGCAACTACAAGAGAATGACTAAAAGTTACTAATGGATCTTAAATAGCTATTTTTTTTTTTTTTAATCTGTGTCACAAAGGCAGTATCACAGCCCCAATAAACAGTAAACAACCTCTATAAATGTTTCAGATGTCATGTAAGTAGTGTCAATAAGAAGTTCAATTCAGCTAGTAAAATATGTCATCTCTTTAATCTGCTTCTTTACTGACCTTGAGATTGTCTTACAAGAGGTATTAGAGAGAAAACAATTGTGTGTCTTAGGTATGGATGAAGTGATGTATGTACCATCCAGAATGCACTCAGAGGAAAAATTCAGAGTAGATAAAAGGTATTTTTGTGTGTAAAGTGGAATTCTAGCTCCCACTTAGTCTTAATTTTTTTTTTTTTTTTCTTAGTTAAATAAGTCCCTGCTGCTTTCAAAGCTCAGCCCAAGAAAGGAAAAATGGTTTGGAAAAACTTACTGAAATTAATTTGACCCATTCATTTGCCCAGTCACAATTTTCTCCATATACTTTAATCAGACACTCAGTGTCATACCCAGTAGGCAGGGTTAGAAACTTCAGAGCATCTTCTTTTCTCTAGATGCGCAGCATCACAGAGTTCAAACCAATGCATGTGCAGTGGAAACAGGGGAGCACTGGCCCTCTGCACAGACATATGAGAGTGACTGCAGGACAGCCCATCGAGGAGCCTCCTGCCTGCTGTCTTACTCTGGAATATTAGACCCATTAAAGGCTCCAGTCTGATGGTTTTCAAAGACAGATTTTAAAACCCTCACAATGTAAATATTTACAGAAGCATCAAAACCAGTTAACAATCAGCTCTTATGGGAAGACAGACAACTAAATTGATCAGGCTCATACCTGCCATCTGAATCATCTACTTCATTTTGGAGTTTGTGACCTTTTGAAGAGGCTATTAATGCTGTTGCAACCTGTTCTGCTACTGGACAAGTGAGAAGAAAGTCCAGTATTGACAGAAATCCCTCTTCACAACTTTCTGACTGTCACTGCATCAATCAAGAATGAGAAAGATGTGAATACCAGATGCATGATGAATAGAGGAGAAAGACACCTCAACAATATGGTACAATACCTGCTTTAAAAGCTCACTGCTCTGGATTTTATTTTCTCTAGCATCAAAAAGAAAAGAAGCATGAGATAATTATTTAATTAACAAGTTCTTCAAGAATCACAGAATTGTAGAATCACAGAATCGTAGAATCACAGAATGATTTGTATTGGAAGGGACCTTAGTTCCCATCTCCATACCATGGGCAGGGACACCTTTCACTAGATAAGGTTGCTCGAAGTCCCATCTACATCTTCTATGGACAGCCTGTTCTAGTGTCTCACCACCCTCATAATGAAGAACTTCATCTTAATATCTAATCTAAATCTGCCTTCTCTTGGTTTAAAACCATTTGCCTTCTCCTGTCACTACTTGCTCTTAGAAAAAGTCCCGCTCCAGCTTTCTTGTAGGCCACTTAGGTTTTGGAAGGTTGCTGCAAGGTCTTATATACATTTTGTATGATGTCTTCTACTTTCACATCCTTCCCTTTAGCATCAGGTCTAAGAACACACACAGAGTGAAGGGGCAAAATGGGCAAAATACAAGCAAAACATATCAGGATTACTTGTTTAAGTGTAAGAGCTGATTGCTACTTTTTATTTCCAACTCTATTAGCAACAGCACACAGGCAGAACACAGAGGCTTAATTGCTGCAGAGAAGTAACATTTCAGCCCCTCCAAGGGTTTACACTTTGTCAGTCATTTTACAGATTCTTCTGTGGTCCCTACTGATGACATTAAGCATGTGTTTGCAAGAACTTTTGCAAACTACAGATGAGTGCTGTCATACAAGCAGGTTATGGTAAGGAACTCTGAGATCTGCTTATGAAGTAAACAAACAGCTTAAATAATTTTCACTATCTAAAAGCTTACTTGATATCTGCCCTGCTTTTGAGGGTGAACTATGTCTTTCCAGTCACTTGTCATTTGACTGTTTCTTCAGATATGGGTAGCCCAGCAGAGTACTAGTTCTGCCAGGATTTCAGAGTGCTGGTCATCAATTTATTGTCACATAAGGTGCTACCATGAATTACGGATTGTTCATTGCAAATTCAGTCAGCATGTATCATACAAGATGTATCTAACCTACTGGAGATTATCAGAGTGTACGCAATGTCTATCACATTTTGGTTTTGCTTTATATAGGGCATCTTATCTGCACAAATGCAGAAATACTAATGCACCAGAAATAAATGTTCTGATGGTCTGGTGAAACCTAAACACTGAAGTGCCCTACATTGTAACATAAAAGAAACAAAACTCTGATTTATTGTAAATTTATCTAGATATGTTTAGGGAGAAGGGGAAGATACTCAAGCTCTGGGTCTAATGGCAAGGAAGCAAGAATACTGTTCTGCAGCACCGTGGTGGTTAGCACTGCTGTATCAAGCTTGGGCACCAACCTATTTTTGTAATACTGAATTATTTTAATATACACCCAGCAGATTGCATTTGCCTGTGATTTTCAAAGTCAGAGAGAGTTTGACCTGATGTCCCAAAAACAGAGCAATCAACTTTACCTATGATACCTTTTTTTCAGTGCATCTAGGATCAAAAGCTCTGAGACCAGGTTACCATTGTTATTACTAAGCATGCTTAGAGGGAAGAGCTGATTTTTGTGATTTCGTAAGTTAGGAGATGGAACAACATATTGAAGAAAGTTAACAACATTTTTAAAGAGTTAAACAAACTGACAAGTATTTGGAAAGAGTCAAAATTTTCTTTTACATGGAAAGGCTGCAGCTGTTAGATATTGCTCAGGGATTTCTCCTGTAAAGCTGACTGCAGAAAAAATGAATACTTAAATTTAAACTACAGAAAGCAGCCATTATATAGATGCTGCTTTTGCTACTTAAGGTCTGAAAAATTACAACAAAGGAAGGTTAAAATAATCAGTAATGGTATAAATACTACTTAAGCCAGGAGTCACATATGGTTTATTAGCAGTGTAGATGGATTTATTGAAAACTGAGATAAGCAGATACATCTGCCATCAATCAAACCTACAAAATATTTTCCTCAGAAAAGGAAACGTAATGATATAAGTGCTCATCTAATAGAATTATAACAACTCCAAATGGTAAAACTAGTGCTGTCTCAATGCATTTTGTCGCCTAATGTTAACCAAACAGACAATTCCTATGACGATTGCCTTGAAGAGAACAGAATGCGTTATAGGTCAAAATCAAGCGCACATCCTTAGATCAACAGCTCCAAAGCACTGCATACTTCTGTAAGTCACCCTGTAATGCAAAACCAAGTGTGATTTGTCACACCATTTCAACCCCCATTAAAGCTAAGATAGCAGTGTGGAAGTTTTCAAATTTCACAGGATAAATATTAAAATGGGTAATACTTGCACATATTTTAAAGAAAATCCTCAGCATTTGCCAAGTCATGCTCTCTGAGGTATCTGCCAGTGTGGGAGGGATGCATGCTCTCAAGGGGACCTGTGTTTCATGGTCATCTCAGGCAGGGGGCTGCAAAGTTCATTAAATGATCTTATCTTGCTGCTGGTTCTGTTCAAAATAGCCTTGATATGATGAAGGACTTACGTTACCCCCACTTCAAATAAAAAGTACCGAGGGATGCATTTCATTACTGCCCTGTGACACCGGAGAAGCCAGGGCTGCAGTGGTCATATTCCTCATTTGTTTGTGTCATACAGAGGATTTATTTGCAGGAAGAGTTCAACTGCAAAGGTAAGCAAGTATCTGGGGGGTTGTAGTAAGTTTTTCATAGTAGTGTCAATAAGAAATACATTTGTTCACTAACTTTAATACTCACTAAAGTCTATTCTAGGAAAGATGAGATTGTAAGGAAAATACCAGTGGCAAGTGCCCAGTTTAGCAGTATTTTGAGGAATCTGGGTAGCATTGGTACAGAAAAAATATTTACGGGCAATTTCCATGCCACAGCCCTGGATAAAACAGCAGGATATGTGGCTGTATATTCTTAACTTAAAGGCTAAGCAGTAGCCAAGGTTACACATACACTCCTCTCACAAGCGTTTTTTAACAGTTATCTGCTTCTAAGAGGCTTTTTAATTTGATGGTAGACACCTTCACATGAATCAGGATTAGTCTCTTCTGCATGTTTTGTCAGAACTGGATGATCTGATGAAGAACATTAGCCCTTTGCAGGATTTATCTTCTTTGATCCTACACCATCGGGTCCTTCTGTTCTTAAACATTAAACAAAACAAAATAAAAGATACTCAAGATTCTAGACTAATTTATGCTATATACTTGATCTTACGAACTCAGCAGCTCATAGGATCAGGCTTCAAATGTATCTGGCAATGGAGAAAATCTAGTGATCAGAAACAGCATTTGATCACACAAGATAGGCAGCTGTTTTAAACATGCCTTAGATGTTAAATGCAAAAAAAGTTTGACAAATCTATGAAAAGCTCAGGAAAGGTATTTGGACATTCTGTATTAGATGATGCTTATGAATGCTTGTTTCCTTGATGCTCGCCACTGTGCAACTACCACCACAGTCCTGTTTGTGTGCGCTGGTGGCAGAATGTGTGGGAATGCAGGCAGCCACAACAGAGAGACAGGCGCAGGGAGTGGGAGAAGCTGAGGAGCAGAGGAGAGCTGAAAAGATGCTCCAGAAAAAGGTTGGTGGTATCAGCATTGGCAGCTGCAGACAAAAGCAGCCCCAGCAAGAAATGGAGAGAGAATTTACAGAGGGAGTAACACACCTGGGGAAATCAGCTGGGAAAATGATTGAAAATGTGTCAGTGAACCAGGTTAATCCAGAGGGCTGGCAAGGGAGGTGAACAGGGCAGAAGGAGAAGTTCAGCAGACACAAACGTGGAGAAGGAAAACCTGAAGTGACCTCCTGTGGAAGCCCTTGGCTATGGGCTAAGGAAGGATTCTCACTGAGAACTGCAGAGTGACAGAGAGCAAGAAGCTAAATAAACAAACAGGCACAGGAGCAGAGCTAGGATAATAACAGTTGAATGGATGACCTGGAGGTAAATGAAATTGTTGATTCCTCAAGTGTTTTGCTCAAAAGGTTTTAAGAATTTTAACCCTTAGCCAGAGGACTGCTGAGCCCTCTGGTACAGAAAAGCAAGGCAAAGAATCAGTTCCCTCCAGTTTGATAATTCAACTGTACTGGAGTCTGGTAGGCAGGGAAGAGTGAAAGCAGATGAAGAGAACTGAGGCCTAACAGATGAGGATGACAGAAGAAAACATGTGGAGTTTGTGGTGTTCAAAGTCATTGATACTGCCACTGTAGCAGTACAAGATTCAAAAAACACATAGTTGCTGCAAGCCTTGCCTTACTATGTTTCTTCATCAAAAAGGTATGATATAATAGAATCATAGAATAATGGTTTGGGTTGAAAGGGACCTGAAATCCAGCCTGGCTTTTTCATATGAGAAAAGGTCCAAATTTTGTAATACCTCAAAGAATTTTAAGAATAGGTATTCTCCAGATCGAAAAAATAGACTCAGACCTATCAGCTTTTCACAGAAAAGCAGTAATGAACTGTCAGAATTAGGAGCAAGGTAAATGGTTGAATAGAGACTGCTGCATAGTGCCTAGTGCAAACATTTTAGCTTGCATGTTAGAATTTATTAGCTAAATGCATACCTGTAACTCGTGCACGCAAGTAACTCCTACTAGTATTGCTCAGACACATGTCAGTATGGTTGGCATTTTCATACACATAAAATTCCCATTGCATGGGAAAATCCAATTAATTTGACTGGAGTTTATACCCAGACAACAGTTTCCTGACTGAGAATACATGAGGCTGTTCATGAGACAAGCACTATGCAGCTGCCGCACACACAGAAGGATACAGGAGATTCAGTTAAAATGCTTTCTTCTGTCCACAAAGAGTTTTACCTAGGGTCTAAAGACCTAAGTTGGATGTGAAGCAGGTATGTTTCCCCAGACAGGATCTCAAAGCAAACCTCATTAAGCCCTTTGAGATGCGAATCGTTGCTACCTGCAGAAGCAGAAGATAAATAATGTATTCAAGATGCAAGGGAAGAGATGGAACTCATGGTTGCGATTACTAGTCCAGTTTTCTAAAATCAAAGCAGATTTCTCATTGTTTTAAAGTCGAACATAAACATTAGCATAAAAAACCTACTCTCCCATACATCATGCAATTTTTTTATTAATAAAATGCACTTATGTAATAAGCACAGTCTCCAAGCAAGGTCCATGAAAATGCAGATGAATAAAATACTGTATTATTTCTAGGAAAATGCATAAAACCCTGAAAACTCTGACTTATTGTGCTATGCAAGAAGCATAAGGAGGTGGAAAAAACAGCTTTTCTGGTGCATATAGGTTATCTGTAAATTTTAAAAACCATTTAAAATAATAATTTCTGTTCTACTACAGGAAAAAAAAGCCCTACACTTCTCTTTACATACCATTTTGTATTTAAGAAGCTTGTGACTTCCAATTCTTTCCACGGAACGTTATGTTTCTTATCATGGTAATGGTTTTTCATACAACCAGTGAGTTCCAGCCTCAAACTATTGCTTTTTTTTTTTTTTTTGCTTACAAAAAAGTAAAGATGTCACATCAAATTGATCTTACATTCCTCTTTTGTTCTACAAACATAATTTCTCCAGAGATCCAGATAACAGTGTTAATGTCACTGCTCCCCTACCTTTCTAATACGTCTTTTAATGTATTTTTATGTATTTTAATAGTATTTTATTGTATTTTAGAAGTATTTTATTGTATTTTAAAAGTATAAATAACAAAATTATTAAATCTAAAAATAAATAATCAACTTCATCTTATATAAGATAAAGCCTTCCTAGAGTTTACCCAGTTATTCTTTTCATTTGAGCAGCTACATTTGTTCACCAGCTTGCAAACAGGACTCTGTTAAAGATGATTACCAGAAAGAGGTTCACATTATTGTTGTCTTAAGACTGTCACTAGAGACTTAAATAAACCTTCATTTAGTCCTAGCTGTTGCAGTGTAGTTTAAGTCAGACCTAATTGCAAGATCTAGAAAAGCGTTATTACAATGGCCTAAATGATTTAAAATGTATTTCTGCTAAACTTTTTGTATCATATGTAGAGATTATTTGTTAAGGCTGCTTTGGAGGCTGCTTTTATTAAGTCTTTTCCCCTCTTCTCTTTCCATATTAAGTGATGTCCCTTTTGCTAACTACATTGAATGAGGTTTTTAGGCATGAAAATAATGTGTACCCAGGTGATAACTGCTAGTGGAAAGCCACAGTACAGGCATTTGTCCTGTTAATCTCCGAAAAAGATGTAGTAGGAGGAGAAAACAGTTTCCATTGCTGAGGTTTTAGCACGAAAACCTCTATCTTAGAAAAAGCGAAACACTGATAGATTAGGTTCGATGTCTCTGATTTCTTACACAACCCTGAAGGCTTATGGCAACAGTTTTGAGATAGATACAGAACAGAGGTGAATTCAAACACCTAGGCACACAACGCATAAAGGCAAAGCAAATTAGGTGGGTTATTTTAGCAGAGTTATCATGCACGTAAGCAGACACAAATAGATTGAAATAAAAGGTAATTTAGGATAAGATGATTTTACAGTTCAGAAAAGCAAATGCTGACACATTGACATACATGTTTATCAAGGATGTACAAGGATTAATTAAATAATGATGTAGAAGTTTAGGTGCTTTGATACATATTTGACAGTTCTCCAGTATTAGGGGAAACGAAAATTAAGATTAAGGTTTGAGCAAGTGAAAATTCAACACCCATGTATCCATACATTAACACGAAATGTTGACTTGGACAATGCTCTTGGTATGCCTGAGCAAGCACATAAAAATAAAATTTCACAGATAATAGAGAAAAGCACTAATTCCTGCTCCCACACCCAGAAAACCTACCTAAACCTGTAATGTGTAAACTATACATACTTAGTAATCTCAACAGTGTTCTAACATCCAGTGCTAGATGTGAGGTGAACAACACTGAAAACTAATTCCGAACTTCTCTTTCACTGTGTTTAAAGCTTTTTCTTTCGGATTTTTTTGCTGTGGGGAGGGGTGTTGGAGAGGCACATCTATTCTATACTTTAAAGCCAGCAACAAAAATACCTGCAATCAAACCAGGAGGCAGAGTACTTAAAACTAGTAAAGGATAGGTGTACCGTAAAAATATACACCTGGACTCAGTTATACCTCATGGCAATGAGTTCCACAGCTTTGTCTTACTCAGGAGAGATATTCACCCTCATGTATATAGAAAAGATACATCTGTAGTATCTGTAGTATATTAAACACGAATTCATAATCATTCAGAAGGAGGAAGTTCTTATGTTATGGGGTTACTTCTGATTAAAGAAACCAGGAAACATTGTTTCCTGACAGTTTATTTTGAAGCCTCAGAGATATCTGGGAAATTTGCTTGCTGCTCTTCAGAAATAGTATTATTCTTAGAGATTATCTCTTGGAGTGGAAAGTCCACTAGATGGCTAAAACTTAGGTGACTAAAAAACACCTAGATGGCTGTTACTGTGTATTTTTCATCTATTTCTAGATCTGTTACACAAAAATTAAAAAAGGGTAGTAACTGTTACCTGGGAGAAGAAATGTGTGTTGGCATTAATATATATTTGGATATTTATAGAATACATATATTTTATCGAAACATATATTGTTATTAAGAAAACTTTTGCCAAGGTGTTCAGCTGTACTTGCAAGTCACATTACAGACTGATGCAAACGCTTATACATCCACCTATAATTTGCTCACAACCTGAAAAAAATGTTCAGTAATTTTTTATTTTTTTTTTCCCCTGCAAAAATCAGGCTCAAATACTGGGATTCTGTCGTTTGGCCGTAAGATGTATGGAGGTTTTACAGAGAGCCACAGGAGAGTCACAGGGAAATCTCAGCAAGAAAGGGACCTCTTCCAAAGGCCTGTCTTTGCTCTCTGTTCATAGAGTATTTATAATGTGTCTCACAGTTTTTCACAAAACAGCCAAATCTCTAAATTACATTTTCTAAAGGTTATCAATTCCCAATTTTGTTTTTCTTACAATGCCTGGCAGGGGAATGGCAGCAGTTTCTTCAAGCTCTTCCAAGCTAGCCTTGAGGGGCTTGTTTACTAGCTCTCTATGGCTCTGATTAAAATAAATTACAAATAATTTCTGTGAATTGAAACAATGCATGAGAGAGCCCTAAATACATGTTAAAAAAATATATTCTAGAAAATATTAAAATGGCATGTTCATGCAAAACCACACAGCAATTTGGAAGGCAGCATAGATATACTCATTCCATATTTAATGAAGTTTTGAAAGGAATGATATGACTTTCTGGCTGTAATGTGGGATACAGGTGCTTGACTGTTAGCCTATGACTGTCATCATGAGACAGATAGATTTCTAGGATAAAATTAATTCCAAGATTTATTTTTAGGGTGACATTAAACAAAGAGGGGGAGTACAGAATTGTCACAGATACACAAATATATTCAATGAATTTGCTCTGCTTTGAAAATTGCAGAAAAGGGAGAAATATTTAGTAAGCAAATTGACTTTTGCAAATCAACATCTTATAAAATTATGTATATACTTTTATACAAAAAAAAAAATTTCTCCACTCCTGAATAATATTAGGGTAAGATAAGAATTAATAGCAAATCACCAGGGCTCTTCTTCTTCACTGTTTTAATCTTAATCTATAATGGTCACTTTATCATATTATGGTCATTAAAATGGTGAGAAAAATCCCACTAGATCTGGCAACTTTTATATTTCCTTTTGATTTATGAGTACGGTAAAAAGTATCTTAATCACCAAACTAGAGAATACAACAGAACTGCCCTGCAATGTGTGCTTAAAGGTCGCAGGCAGGTGGAAGTGAGAGATATTTGAGGTCAATTAGCAAGAATTTAAATCACTGAAGACAACATATTCTCAAGTGTCATAGCTAGGAATGAAAAGCTGAAATAGTGAGTCATGCCCACTGTTATCCTGATGCTCCAAAAGAAGACAAACACAAACCCAAAACCAAACTGTATGACCCCCCATGCTGTGAAAATCCAAAACAGCAAGAGTGTGCTTTAGCCATGAAAACAGACAAGGAACCAATAACGTGTTATATGCTTTTTCAGACTTATCCTTTAGAGAAAATGAATAGCCAATACATACGTCATGAAGTGAGAGGATGTGAAACCGGTGACCTGAGGAACTTCTGGGAAAAGACTATTGAACAACAAACTCGATATCTGCAGATTGAAAAAGAACGTCAGCAAAGAAGTGCTCTAACAAAGTGGGTAGTTTGCATCCAGAAATATTATTTGAGTTTGCACTGTAATTCCTTTTTAAAGAAAAGTGATACCTATATTTAAGTCATGTAATGAAAGCTGAAAATATTTTTCTTAGATTTTTAGAAATAATATATCTTCCCAAATTGACATGCTAATCCTAACATGTCTAAGATATGGTTTAGAGAATAAGAGAATAATTAATTTAATAAGAGAATAATTCACTCTTATTCTTAAATGGATCTGAAGTGCAGAACTTTCTGAAGTTACCAGACAATATTTAGCAGTGCAGGTTTGTCTTGAACACCAAGACTTAACATTCACAGCAAACCTAGCACAGATGTGTACCTGGCCCACCTTCTTTCTCTATAGCCTTGTCTTCACAAGAACATAGTTTGAATTCATTATCTTAATTTCAAATAAGGCAAATCCATAATAAAGCAGACAGTTTAAGTGTACTGACTGGCCAAGGCAACCATCATCCATAGCTGTATTTACGTCAATCATTTATATTTACTTTAATCAGACACAATGAGGAATATCAGTCCTCAGCAAGACCAGTAGTTTTACTTCACATGAAGTCTCCATAAGTGGTAGGCTCTTGCAAAGATGGGTATTTTGGTTTGAGATCATTCAATAAGTAAACATTTTTTATTTTTCAAAATCTCCCTCATACATCCCTTTAATATTGATACTTCAAAATATAAGAGCAAAGGTGGCCTTGCATTAACAACACTGGATGAAGGAACACTGGAATTAATGTCTAGTATGCTTTATCCATTTATGTCTAGTATGTTTTATCCATTTGTAACTAAGATGATCTTTGTGTCTCGACTGAGTCCTCAATTGTGAAATTCTGTCTTTTCCATTTGAGGCAGTCTTTCTGTGGCACCTAGATACTAAGATAAAAAACCACCCCAAAACACACAAAATGCAACCTGTCACCTAAAGCTGTGCACTATGGGTCTAGCAGAAGTTTCAACACACAGTGTTTCCAAGCCACACAGTGCTCAGTAGCCTCTATGCAGTACCCTTTTTAAGGCACTTCTGAGGAGGAGAGGGACTGGGGAGATGTCGGGTGATGCCACCCAGCAGGTGGCAGCAGGCAATCTCCAGTGCAGGTGACAAGTCACTCCAGCATACACAGGCACTTGAAGAGGGATTGGTGAAGATGAACCACAGATCTCAGGTGAGCTGTCATCGGGGTTTAAGAACCAGTCCTCAAGTGCTATCCAGCAAAGCACTCTAAAGAGGGAGGTCAGTCTGCATGACAACTGGGAATAAGCACCAAAGCATACCACCAGTGGGAAACATGAAGGGTATTATCCTGTTCCCTGTAAAATTGTCTGGGCAAGCTAATCCATGTTTCTGTCCTTAGGCTCAGAAATGAATGGATGGAGAGGCTGGAAAAGAGAATAAAGATGTTGAGGACCCAACCTGAAGACACATCCAATTGAAGAACCCACATCCATTACATGTTTGAGGAAAAAAAGGAATTTTTTCTTAGGAAAGCATGATGGTGTGATGCAGAAGCTAAAGTCAGTTTTACTTTGTGGCTTACATGAGCTATAATTAATTAGCTGTCATTGTTAGAAGTTTCATTTATAACATGTCTGATGTTGCTTTTAAGATTATGCATCCATCCCTTCATTTGAGCAACAGAGACTGAAGTACTCTGAAGTCCTCTGTATTAGCACTCTGAAGACTAATAAATCATGGTTCGCTGAGCAGTAGATGCCTGGAAAAAGAATTTAGTTACACACTTAGTGCTCAGCAGAGGCATTTCCTCAACATTTTATGTTTCTGCATAGACTAATCATAACCTTATGAATTTATTTTCTTTCAAAATTTTGTAATGGTTAGTTCAGGGTTTTGGTTTGGTTTGGTTTGTTTTTAACACTGCTGAGCCCAGTTCAGACTAAGAAAGAGGGGACATGCACAAACGATGGCACCATATCCCACATTACTAATGGAGACAAGCCTGGTGGGAGTTACAGATCCTAGATGCCATATAAAGTCTGTAAAGATATTAATATGTACCCTGACAAGTAGGCTCTGTGAGACACCAAAAAGAATTGCTCAATCAGTTAACCTACATTAGCTAACTTGAGACACTTTATCAGTAAAGACGAAACAACTTGGCATTTTAAGGCTGCTTTTGGTACCTGACCTGGCTTGTCTAGAGCTGTACTGACAAACTGTTTCACAGAGAAGCCTGATGTATTTTCACAGGTGTCTGTCATAAGTGACAAGCACATTTTTCCTCTAACACTTTTTTTCCCCTTTAAGAGCCAGTAGATATTCCTTGACAATCAGTACCTTCAGAAACATGGCAGGCTTCCTCTCCCACATTTGACATTAGTAAAAAATGTCTGTAGTTCCTTTCTTTCCCGATGCCTCCTTAGGAAATGTGGCATTTCCTCCAACAGTATCAAAGCATTTCAATAGGCAGGTGAAATAAAATTGCTTCATTTTTAGGGTGACTGCTTTGTTGCCACCAGAATGCTTGGGGTAATGTACTGCAAAATGACTTGTTTAGAGCATGCTAAAATTCTCTTCACTCAATTGCTTAAACTTTTAGTCCCTTTCTATAAGACCATTTCACTACTTCTCTGATAATTCATACTGCTTCGGAGTAAAGAATTTGTTATTTGCCAGTGGACCCAGAAGACAACAGCAAAAGGGCTTGGCGTTGTAAAATATTTAGAAAATCTGTTCTTTTTAAAGCAAAACAAAACTTTGAAATGCTATTTTTTTCTTTCTTTACCCATCACCTTTTAAATCCACTTTTGTATCCCCCAAGGTCAAACCAAAACTGTTATGAGAGTTTAAACATGTAAATAATGTTTAAGAAACCTGAAAAATCCATTAAAGTCTGAAAAAAAAAGAGATGACCTTGGAACATGCACTTAAAAGTCAAGACAGCAAGCAGGAATGTTACCAAATTTGAGAGCAGAGTTTGCCTGGCATCTGAAAAAAGCTGCAAAATTCATATTCTTCAAGTGAGTTTTTTTTCTTAAGCAATTTATAAAGTATCACCAATGGGGAATATGCAGGCTAACAATAATATTACAATATAGCTATGTTTTAATAAACAGTCACCGAGTATCTACACAATATTAGAGTTCAGTAAAAGTTAGATTTCTTTGAAAATGACAGGTCACAGACTTCAATTTTTCCATCACCTTCTGTGCCTTGTTTTTACAGTAACTCTACCCGAACTCCATCGTGATTTATTTTTATACCATTTTTGGATGATATTAGAGTTTGAAGTAAGCCAAAGAACCAATTTACATCCCCTCATTCCTGTGTAAGTGACCGCACAAGGTGCAGAACAGAGGGAATCAGAGTTGGCATATTTTAAAAATGAAAAAGGTGCCCCTCACCTTTTGCATCTCACCTAGTTGAGATCCTTCTTTTCTCATAAGGTAAGTCAGACTGAGGAAAATCCAAGAAAAGGCAGGGAAAGGCATACCAGGAAGCGACTCCCATTTGATTCCCTCATTGCACATCTGATATGGTCATGTAATTTTAAAGTGCTTTGGAATAGGTCTCTATCAAGCTAGAACACCCCAAAATAATACCTTTAAAATTATAAAAAGTATATTATTTTTACAGTCTTCATCTATTCCAGCCCAAGGCCAAGAGAATTTTAGAAAATGTATATGCAGAATTAAACCACTTCTCATCTGAGAATTGCAATTTCACCTTTAGTGTCTAGATGAATTATTCCAGGCTCAGATTCCAGAGAATTAGATTCAGGACTTCAGGCCATTTGATCTTTATTATCTAAATGCTAGCAACATGTTTTCATACAAATGCCACTACTTTTGCAGGGGTAATCTACACACAAGTTTTGTAAGTTACCACAAAAAAACCCAAAACAATAATAAAAAAAAATCCAGAGAAATAAATATAATCTAGAGTCAATAAGCAAAAATAAAAAAGTGTAATATCATTAAAATTCAAATTTAAATGTCAAGAAACAATATTAATCAAAAGCTGGGGCAGAATCCAAGATGAAAAGGGTTCTGGCATTCAAAAACAGAAAAATAGAAATCTTTAATTTACCTTGAAGGTCATAAGAGAAATTAAAAGGCGGGGGGGGAAGAGAGAGGGGGAAGAAAAAGAAAAACCAAAAACCAACACAAAAGTAAACTGCAATTTCTCTGAGACTCAGAAATGAGCCCTAATGTTATAAAAATGAGCAGAGAAACTTGACTGTAGGACTGGGCAACTCATCAGATGGTAACTGATAAAATCAGCTGGGTATTATAAAGTCACAGTTAGAGATTATGTTGAGATGCTTTTCAGCCTATTTTTCACCAATACAGAGTTTCAGAGAGGTGCAGGATTCAGTTAAGTGGGTTAAACTTAGTAACTGTAATGTTTATAAAGTAGCTTCTTAAAAAAAACACTTCATTTCTCTTGATTTTTTCTATCCATATTTTCACATTACTTTTGAGTGTAACAGCAAGAGATTTTGAGTTATGCCAATCTAATTTTATTAACTTTGTAATTAAAATGCAGTAGATACTCACTTATCTTCCTAGCTGTCCTTATTTTATCATTCCTTTGCTTCATCCTGACACTTAGTATCAAGAAAATGAATGTTGCCTTCTTATTAGGAATGCTGGTACAGAACTTTATTAAAAACCTTGTAGCAGTGACAAAAGTCAAGTGTAGTAAAGTTTTACTGTCCTTTGAAGCAACTAAGTAACACTCTGGTCTGAAGCCCTTTTAAGTAGTATTTATGGGAAGTATGCTGTATGTTGGTACAAGAGTGACAGATACTCCATTTTAGCTGTATTAATGGTCCTTCTAGTGTATGGATAAGGGCTGACAGCTGTGAAGAATGATTCTGTCAGTAACTTAACAGACTTTTTAGCAGTTTAGCCTGAGCTGAGATGGCTTAAATACAGTTCTTTGCTCAGTAGTCCTTCCTGACCAACATCCTTCTCTAACCAAGATGCTCCTTTCTGGGGCTCCCAAATTAAGGAACAAATAAGCATAACTCAGCTACTGTGGCAAGGTTTTGAATTCAAACTGATGCAAGTCAGACAGAAGGCAAGTTGTCTTTCTGGTAAGATGGTAGAGACAAATCAGGGAGATGTTTTAGCTGTGCCAGGCTGAAGGCCCACATCCGCGCTAAAGCAGTTTCTGCAGTAAAGCCTGTCCTGCAGCCTAGTGCAGGGTCACAGACTGTCTTCATTGTAACACCCATACTGCACAAGAACTTTGTGGCCAAGCAGTTATGTTTCTTTGGGTTTCTGGCCACATACACTGAAGGGGAGACTGATCTAATGGCAGTTCTGAGGTGCTTGAAGTTGTCAGCACTGAAATAAACCCACCATACAATACAAAGTTCAGCTAACATATTCTGTGTTTAATGTAGCATTAAATACAAAGGAGTTATTTTGCACTACAGAAAGCCTACAGCCCATGATACACAAGCAACATAAGAGAGAATCCCAGACACACAAAGCTGACTGTGTAAACAGGATAGAAACAGTGGAGGGGGAGTGGAAAGACAGGCCAGAGCCAGAGGTCAGGGAAGAGCCATGGTATGTGGGCTGGGTATGAAGCCATGGCCCAATTGCTCCACAGGAATAAGGTGACCCATGTACACAGCAGGCAGTGCTCCAGCTGGAACTAAAATCCATAGATATTTTCTTCTAACAAAGGCCTGAAAAATAAGAACATCTTAAAGTTGTTCATGAAAGGTGTTGTAGCTGTTGCAAAATACATTGCATGTTGAGGGAATCACTACTCATATAACTGGAATCTCACCATAAAAGTCTGACGAAAATTAAGAGACAGATGCCAGTGGGATGCTAAATTCATAAAGAGAGCTGGGAGATCATTGTGGCTGGAGAAGCAGAATAGATAACTTTGAGGAGGGAAGTTAAAATAAGATGAAGAAGTGGTAATGTCTTAAACTGAAAGGGTTTTGAGAAGATTCAGCTGAAGGCCTAGCATGGACTACAGGTTTTGCTGTTCTGAACTCATCCTCTCATCTTTCCATATTACACATGGAGACTCTCTCAGACATCACTGCTGGTCTTGGCTCAGCCACATGCACATTAACCATGCATATGCACATGATCTGCAGCAGCAGCTCAGTGGAAGTCGTTTGAGATAGATCTGAAACCTAAGTCATGGTGGTATGTGAGCCTTTCTGTACTCAGATAAGACATTACCCCATCCTAAAAGGTGCAGCCACCCTCTTCTTCCATAAATAGGACTCAGTTTGGGCCAAACATCCTACAAGGAGGACTGGTAAGAGACTCCTGAAGTTTCAAGGTCAATGGGGAATGTTTATATCGACTACAAAGTATGTTAAAATATAGATAGCTTTTTGAATGGTATCTGAATTTACAGGATGAAAAACCCATTCTGAGAATTTCCCTGTAAATCAGGGTAATCCCCAGTATCAATGCAGACTAGGGGATGAATGTATTGAGAACACCCCTGCGGAGGACTCAGGGATACTGCGGGATGGAAAGTTGGACAGGAGCCAGTAACATGTGTCCATAAAGCCAATCATATCCTGGGTTCCATAAAAAGGAGCACAGCCAGAGGGTCAAGGGAAGTGTTTCTCCCCCTCTACTCTGATCTCATGAGATCCCCACCGCAATCTGGGGTTCCCTCTACAAGAAAGACGTAGATGTGTTGGAGTGGGTCCAGAGGA